TATCACTAGATACACCTGCAGACGCATCTAGTTAAAAGTCCCTTTTCCAACTAGTAATCTAGATGGCAACTAGTCGTGTATCGCCCGATTACAGACGAAATGTATCTAGATTTTTCCCATAGGTGATATTTGCCTGGGTAACTCACTTCGAGCGCTGGCAATGGCTGATGACACCGATCGTTTTTACTTGGTAGCTGGAAAACCGACGCTAAAACTCGGTTTGAGATACCTAGCCGCATTTTGACCACAGCAGTACGACGTGAACGATACGGGGAATTGCGTAAATTCAATGTTGATAACATGATCACCAAATGATCAAATTGTTCTTTACTTAAGCCAGTCAAATTGTAATGATCTTCATTCGTTAAGGTCACCATGCCGTCAAAATTAAATTGTTCTTCATTATTCATCATTATTGTGACTTTTGTGAACTACCCGAGAATATCACCGCAGAATAAGGAAATCCTCTGGATAGAATGAGGACGAAGTCGATCAATAGCTTCACGTGTGAAACGACGATTTATCATATGCTGCGGACAACAACGTGCACCGCTCGGTACAAAGACATTTTTTGTGAAAAACGAATATAATCGATCTTCATCAGTAACGATTATTGTCACACCAGAAATCTCGATCTTACAAACATAGTACATGCTAGAGAATAACAAATGGATAGTCTTAGAAATAGAAAGTTATCAGCTTTTAAGAAATCTCGCATGAAAATAACAGGTCTCTTACGGATGCGAAGATAAAGTACAGTTTACTGGGATTTCATAAACATTATTGGTTTGAACGGGCTAAAGCTGATGATAGGGCTGAACAGATGTACTCATTTCAAACTCGGTTGATCCATTCGAAGAATCGTCATCTAGTTCCATTATTTCTGTCTAAACAGAAAAAAACAAACAGAACGCCAAAACCGCTTAAAGAAAACTAACCTACAAGACGTACTTGTTCATCATCATGAGCTTCAACTGGATCTAGTCCTTCACACGTTTGTTTTATAACTTGATCGAACTCGGGATTATTACGTTTTGAGGCATAATATGAATTACGGCAGCGATTACAATCCGCGAACTCTGTTCAAGCGTTTTCAACGTTCGAATCGAAATAAACAGACACATTGGTAGAGAGCGCAGAGGACGAACGGCAGTAGCGCGACGGACAGGTTTACTACAGGGGCGAACAGTAGACATTTTCGAGATAACTGCTTGCATACATTGAAACTTATTGCTGCTTTACACTCCAAGTTGTCGACCGCTTCGAAAGAAAAAGATTTTCCTTTCGTTCTACTTTGTACACCACATTTTTCGTTCAGTTCGGCCCAAAACATTTTACGTTATCTTTTCTTTTCTTAAAACGCTTCAGAATTGTAGCGCCGATCAATATTTTGAGATAAGATAACAGCTATATGTCGAACCATATATTAATTTTAATCTCAACCTGATTATTGCGTATTAAACATTAATCATTTCAGAATTCTTGAAATATCTTGACAAGATCGGCTCAAGATTATCACGACAGATTCTGATACAAAACTTGTGGAAAATCTGAAGCATTTCCTTTCATTCAGAATCGTGACAGATTTCGATAAATTTGCACAAGTTCTTGAAAGATCTGGGGCGAAACTTGAGAAATCTGTAAAGATTTATCAAGATCTGCATTCAAGATTTTTCTCCTGGGTATTCAGTATGAACGACATCACATGACGATTAATTATTTCATAGAAAAGTTACTGAAAATATGCCCAGCTTTTGAGACTTATTACTTAATACTTAAAACATGTATCGAAAAAATAACTTGCTGTTCATAACAGCTGTTTCATCTACCTCTCTTGCACTCTCGCATGCTGTTTTTTCCAAATCTGTACGGTTAGTGATAGCAGAACACGAGTGGCTGACTCGATAGAAAGTAAGGTCTGGAAGAAAGAAAGAAGACTTTTTTTGTAGTGAAACAGAATAAGCCTCTCCGAGTTTCACTCGGTCGGCTTAAAGAAGACTAGATCCAACTATCCTACGGGCAGATTGGAAACCCGACCGAGTGAAACGTATCTTAGAAATACTTTAGGTGGTAAATCTTTTCATGGAAAAATATTTGACTTAAAGTGCTTATTGGCTGCACAGTAGACTCAAAAGGGGGTGGGACACGATTTTTGAACTTTTCGAGGACCAGAAATATCATCTAAGTTTTCACCGAAACTAAAAGAGATTTGGCAAAACTAAGACTGCAGATTGACAGAGCAGATAAAATACTGCACAAAAAGCAAACAAGATTTTGTTCTGCTGCCCCTTAAGAGAAGAAAAATGTTAATTAAGAAAAAAGAACGTGCGGGAACCACTAAGATAAGAAGGGAAAAGAACCCAAAAACAAAGTGTTTTGCTTACTGTGTACTAAGGAAGCATTTCAAAATTCTTACCGTTCTCTCTGCCGCGGCACAACGAATTTATTTTAATGACATTTCGATATATTATCGGCTTCTTTCGATGTATGTATACGTATACATGAAATTTATTCTGGTACATGGCTTTCTTGAAATTCTCTTTAGGATTTACGATTTTCTTTTCGCTTCCTGTGTCATGGCGAAAAAGACAAAATTTGTTCTTTTTATTGAATTTTTGTACAATTGTCTGTTGTGCCAGAAAAATACGTTTAAACCGAACCTATGATAGACGAAATCAAGACGACACTTCGGAGCATCAGAACTGACGTTCTGATTTCACCTTTATGCATGACACCGTCATTAAAAATTTTTATTGTATATAGAAAACTGTTTAATATGTTCTTTGTAGAGAATTTCAGGGCACATCTTTTGAGAAAATAATGAAACTTAGGGGATAAAATTCAACTGAGATATGAGCAAAATATTACGTGACCGATTTATTCTGAAGCACCCGTTATATATACAATGTTAAATATTACCAGAAATCTGATAATTAGTAATACTTTTATTAAATTTTGTCCTTATTCGGTTGCATTTTTTATTCAGTAATTCTTTATATTGATTACTTGTACGATATTTTGTATATCTTGCTCCATATAAATCAAATAAATGTTTATCAATCGCAGCTACTCTTATTGGATCAAATGCTTTTGTACCATGGACAGAGGCGTCAACGGATGAAACTTTTAATTCTTCTTCTGTAAATAATGTTGAAAAAAGATAGGCTAAAAGATGACGGAAGCCGGTTTCTTTGTTTAATAATTCTTCATTAGTTGCCAGTTGTTGTCTATCATGCTTTTCTTTTGTAGCCTGAAATGTTCTTTGTGTGGTGGGATCATTAAGAAATACTTGGGGTTCCTAAAACAGGAACGTTTTAAAGCATACAAATCCCAGGTACATGACTCTTTATAGTGTATACTACCATTTGACGTTGTAACTGATGCAAATAAATTTGTACACATATAGGTTGAAATTTAACAATCAGCTTTTTGTCTTTTCAATAAACGATTCTAAAAAGTATAAAAGTTTTCTAAACTAAAGGTACTTGAACACGTTTAACATACCACACTATCTGGAGTTGATATAAATGCTTCGTATCTACATTCATATCATATGATCGTTTAGAAGTAAAACTTTCAGATGGTTCAAAATCATAATGTGGGTATAATAATTCATTTGCAGACGTTATGATTCCAGTTAGTGTTGGTGGTGCTGATACGATTACAAATGTAGGATTATCTGTGGTTGTGGTCTGCGTGGTAGCTGTACCACAAGGAACAGTACGAACCTAAAAACAATTTATATGACAAAAGTAAACAGACTGATTAACAAAGGGCAGTATTTCCAGTAAACCTTTCACATTTTGATATGCATGTTCACATTGACTTTTTTCTTGAAAAACTTCTATTTACTTACAACTTGTTCTTTGATTTGCTCAGTTGCATGTTGAATTGCATTTTCAAGGAATAACGCTCTTTCTTCAATTAATTCCAAGATTTTTGTACAACAGTTTTCTTGTTAATAATACTGGCTCATTTATCAACATTGTCCCTCTATAATTCACATACTGTTATATCAATTGTTGTTTGTTTAATTATTAATGTATCAACAGTTTTCTTGAGAGTATTAGATGAAGTTTCTATTTTATCAAATTTTGTTAATAATAAATCACGTTTTTCATTTACGATTGATAATATTGCTTAATACTTCAGACATTATTAAAGTTAGATAGATAACGAGAAAATACAATTGCGTATGATTTTTGTGAAACGAAGATTTATAATAATGATTCTTTTTCTTTCTGTAGATAGCTTCTTTTTCAAACCTAGATAAGCTTCTTTGTTCAATTGTTTGATGAGCATATTCTATTCCCATGCAATGAAAATTAATTAACAATACATGTCTATACATATTTCTTGTTAGATTTTGTTACCCAAATTGGCTTAACTTGTATATGCATATGTCATAATTGACAGAGTTTATGTGTTCTGTTAAAGAAAATAATCAGTCGTATTTGCTATATTAGAACGGATCTTATTTTATTACACTATTTCTCACTATAAACTCAATTCATCTATAATACGTTTCATAAGGTTTCAAGTATTTGCAAAAAGTTTTTATCATGTCAAGCTACAAATGGCTTATGTTCGAAAAAAGAAAGGTCTGAAGAAAAAATGGGACAAATATCTAAATCACGCTTTCAACGTAATAAAGTCGAAAGAAAATCTTATTCCGAATTATATCCCGAAATAATAACTGAATTAAAAAATTTATTAAATACACACAGTGGTTCTGCACAAGGCAGACGTCGTGATGATGCAATACGTTTCGATGGTTTATCAATAGTTGATTGTAACAAACATATAAAAAAACGATTAATGAAGAAATACTCGAAAATCAATAAAATATCAAATTCCACTGTTCGTCGTTTTTTTTGCCACCAAAACAGAATATTCGAAGTAGTACATTTTATAAAAGTCGTATATTAGCAAAACTTCCACAAAAACGTAATTCACGATCAATAAAAGAACACAGTCATTTTCATTTTACATGTGCGCAAGTCAATTACGTCGAAGAATTATCTAGTGTCATGCATAAAGGTGAGATCAGAACGTCAGTTCTGATGCTCTGAAGTGTCGTTCTTGATTTCGTCTATCATGGGTTCGGTTTAAACGTATTTTTCTGGCACAACAGACAATTGTACAAAAATTTAATAAAAAGAACAGAAATTTTGTCTTTTTCGCCATGACACAGGAAGCGAAAAGAAAATCGTAAATCCTAAAGAGAATTTCAAGAAATCCATGTACCAGAATAAATTTCATGTATACGTATACATACATCGAAAGAAGCCGATAATATATGGAAATGTCATTAAAATAAATCCGTTGTGCCGCGGCAGAGAGGACGGCAAGAATTTTGAAATGCTCCCTAAGAGCACATCTGGGACTTAACATGTGATAAAAAAACTGTTGATTTATCCCGAACGTAAGCTAAGTAATAACTTGATTGGACAGTGGGACATTTAGTCCGAAAACAAAGCCTTTTTAGTAGTAAGACTTGAACTTCTATACGAAAAACGATTTTTAAACGACATTTATGGCATAACCTTGTTTGTTCTTGAAACACAGTAAAACCTAACAACTTCAAAGAAACAAATAACACTAATACCAAGTAAAAACAATAACTAAAAATGCAAAAAATGTTACTAGAAAAAAACCAGAGCTTATTTATTTGCGAACAGTTATTCTGGTTACTGCCTCTGACCACCTTGATTTCCACCCTGATTTCCACCTTGATTTCCACCCTGATTTCCACCTTGATTTCCACCTTGATTTCCACCTTGATTACCACCCTGGTTAGGGTTATATGTGCCGGGCCCCCTGGTATCCATCGGCTTGGTACCAATTTGACTGGGATCAGCATTCATCTGTGCAGCGGCACCTAAAAACAGGAAATAGGTGATCAACATATTCAAGCACAAGCACTGAGCGCATGTTTTTACCTGTGCCTGTACCAACGATTGCTTTGTCTTGTGGCGGAACTTGGTTAAGTGGTACTGCACCACCATGTTGTGCTAACCAAGCACGATCTTCATCTGATATGGCACCATTAGCATCAGTTGTTGTTTGTTTTGTTTGACCATCTTGTGCATGCAATGTTATCGACTGATTTGCATTTGGGCCTGATCCACCAGCATAGTTAGCGGGCGTTCTTTGATATGGTCCTTGACCACCTGTATTACTTCCACCGGCCATATTTCGTATACCACTTGAATGTTGCAAAACATCATTATTTCCTTGTTGTCCACCTTGACCTTCTACAACAGTAGATAGAACTTATGCTATGCCTGAATAAAACACACAACAAAAGTCGTACTGGCAACGCCTTGACACCATAAGCCTCTATTAAGTTAAAACTGTACACACTAACACTAGGATAAAACAAAGGTACTTCGCCCATATATGCACTGAATGCAAGTAACCTAAAATTTTTACCTTGATTTCCACCCTGACCACCCGTTCCTTGTCTGTTACCAGTTTGGTTGGACATATTTCTATTGATAACTTTATTGATCTTAAATATATGACGAATGATGGTGTGAGTAGTTGAGAATACTGAAAAAACTTCGCAGGTAAGACTCTGAATACTACACTTTTTATATAAAGAATACTGGGCTTTTTATTCTTTTCGAAGAGAAAAAACTTGCACGAGTACTGATGTCGAACAATCTGTAGAAAACGTTTCTATCTATATTTCTGTCATAAAAAGACAAAGGTAAGTAAGTGCATCTACTCCTCTGGATAGCGATCGTTGAATAAATGAAATAAAGAGAAAGAAAAAGAAACATAGTACTCATCGTTATACTTTATATTTCGCTCGTCTTTCTTTTGTAACCCAGCTGGCGACGCATTCTTTTGATATGTACTACAACGTTATCTGAGAAGATTCTCAGAATTCATGCACATCAGATTCGAACGAAAAAACGAAATCTTTGATCACTCTCGAGCTCTTTGTCATTGTGAAACGGTAATGAGGTTAGAAAAAGTCACAAAACGTTCTTATACCACACACTAATAAGCAGAAAAATTCTGACTATTACCTTGTACTGTATGTATGAAAAAGAAACGATTAGTTATATATGAAATCTGTTGTCACTGCAAAAAGTACTTTGTTTTAAATGATCAAAAATGCTGACTGCCACTTGTATATATATATCTGAACAGAAAACAACGGATGAATCCAGAAAGACACGAGAGCACGCGGTGCACGAGGCCAAAAGAAAAGAACAATCGTAAAGAATAACCTCAATATTAGAAAATTAGACTATACAAGATGTATAGAACGAAAAGAAAACGAATTTGACTTCACAAAAAACATAGTATTACCATGCATTTCAAAAAACGGCACGATGCATTCAGTCGTAACGTCAGTATCTTTTTACCGAAAACCGATACGGATATCTTATGTTCCAGTTTATTCTTTCTGAAAGCTTTTCTATAACTTGTATCTTGTTGCAGAAAAGATATTCTTAGGTGATTAAGTACATCACGTGTAGGAAGTGATCGGACACGAGTACAAAATGTCTACATATGTTTTAGTCGTATTGTTCGAGGTATGAAAACAAATCTCTCATGCTGCAGAAGCGATTTTATTATTTCAAATGGCGGCCGAACAACGGAAAATTATAGAATCTTTCGAAATTGTGGAGATTCACATGCAGCTACAGTAGCATAACACCTGACATGTGTTCATAAACTTACTTGTATTCTAATTTTAAGTAAGGTACCGGAAAATTCAAAATTATAGCGCATTTTATATTCAAAATTTATACATGGTTGGATTGAGCTGGTCGAGCGGAGTAAGAATATGTGTATTTTAATGTTCGGAAAAATGTTTTAGGGTCAAACATTTGAAAAAACTCAAAGTCCCTCACAAAGCCCTCAAGAACGACTGATATTTCGGAAACAAGAGAAAATCTTTTAATTATTCTACCCATGGGCAAAATTTTCGTAAAAAAATGGAATTGAGTTCGTAAATTAGAGCACATTTTCGAAAGATTTACGCGTAAACAGGCAGAAATATCGCCGTAAGCTCCAGCTTAATTACAGATAGTTGTCCGTTAGATGACCGTTATTAGCACCGTAAGTACGTGTAATTCTTTTACGCGTAAATAGGTGTAAAAATAATGCTTTTTTGGAATAATTAGGTACTAATATATTAACTTCTAAAAACATTTTGTCCGACTCCGTCATACTGACTTATCTGTCGAATCTACGCTCACCTTCACTAATCGACCTATATAGGTACGAGACTATACACACATCGAGCAGCACTATAACGTTTTTTGCTTGCTTGAAAATTTGGAGATTCGAACATCAGAACTTGTGTTTGCTAGTCTGCCAGTATAACTATATGGCCATATCGGATCGAAAATTAATATTACCAAAGTGCTATTCAAGCTTGCAAGCTTAAAGAATGGCGGCGCATAAAGAATGGCCCTCTCAGTATTTTGTTTATAACTTGGTATTGATTTGTTTCCGAGACTCGATATTTTTTTTAAAAGATGCGCTGCGAAATACTCTACAGAATCATACCTAAACTATAATTGCAGAACTTCAATCAAGAGAATTAAGCCAATTAGATTAAAGCCGAAAAAATGTAAACTTGCTGACCTGAAAACTTTTTTCGGCTTAAACTTTTTCTTCTGCTACTATTTCGGTAAAAAAGTGTAGCAAAAGGGAGAACTCAGTTTATGTTTGGTACTTTCAAATGTGCTCTTGCTTATAGTCTGTAAAAAGACTTTTTTAGAGCAGATGGTATGCTCGAGAACGAAATTACACAAATACATCAAAAGTTGACAACCTCCCCGTTCCCAACAATGTGCTCAATCAAGAAACCGAAAAGATGATTGAAGTTTGATAGAGAAGAGCAATCATTTCTGATCAAAACAAACCAAACCTAAAAAGCTTTTATTTTGATAGAGTTATGGGGCTTTTACTGAAAGCAGTACTATACCCAAAATTTAAAAAATTAATGAAAAAATGCATAATAACCGATAGAAAAACTATTATTTCGCCGTGGCTTTTGATGTGAAAAAATCTGAAGTGTAGCTAAAAGATAGCGCGAAGTCAGGGCTACAAAATGGCTAATTCAGTTTTTCTTACTTTCAAAACGTTAATACAAGAAACAATTTTTGACTTTAGAAAATTTACATTTTTTCGACTTAAATCTAATTGGCTTAATTTTCTTGATTGAAGTTCTGCAGTTATAGTTCAGGTATGATTCTGTAAAGTATTTTGCAGCGCATCTTTTAAAAAAAACATCGAGTCTCGGAAAAAAATTCATACCAAGTTATAAACAGAATACTGAGAGGGCCATTCTTTATGCGCTACTTGTTATTGTCGGTAAAAAAAAGAATGGACTCGGATGTTTTTTGAATAACGTTTGATAGAAAAGTGGTAGATGCTTGAGGTCTTCACTAATCGAAAGCTAGGACCTAACTGCATCTTTTCACAATGAAAGTCTTTTTCAAAATCTTTCCCTAAAGCAGGCTTTTCAGGAGATCTTTGGAAAACCAGGTCATTGTTCAAAAACTTGAAATACAAATGATTTGATTTTTTTCATGGATAGGTAGTCCAAAGTGTCCTTGTCAAAATGGGAGTCAAGCGAATGGGAGTATCAGAACCTGTACTCAACCTAAGCTGTTATAACTACTGTACTACCTTAAAACTACTCCACTTTATTTCAAATCAGTATAATGTTACATAAAGATGAATGAAACAACACTGTTATCCATCTGTGTCATATTTTATCATGAAATAAGCATCAGGACGTTGAGTGCAAGAAAATCGAGAACGAAAAACATTTTCACTTTCTTGAGCAAATATACATGGAATCGCAACATTATACTGATTTGAAATAAAGTGGAGTAGTTTTAAGGTAGTTTTAACAGCTTAGGTTGAGTACAGGTTCTGATAGTTCATATGTAAAACGCTTTTAAATTGTTAAACAGAGACTGCCACGAGACTCAGCGCAGCCGATAACCCTTGTCTAGAGTCATTTGTGAGATTTCCACGTGTGAGAAATGACCAGTTCTGGGACTCCCAGGAAATTCGACACCCGGCCTAAGCGATCGAAGATCAGAGTTTCGCTTGACTCCCATTTTGACAAGGACACTTTGGACTACCTATCCATGAAAAAAACCAAATCATTTGTATTTCAAGTTTTTGAACAATGACCTGGTTTTCCAAAGATCTCCTGAAAAGCCTGCTTTAGAGAAAGATTTTGAAAAAGACTTTCATTGTAAAAAGATGTAGTTAGGTCCTAGCTTTCGATTAGTGAAGACCTCAAGCATCTACCACTTTTCTATCAAACGTTATTCAAAAAACATCCGAGTCCATTCTTTTTTTACCGACAATAGTATTTTACATCGAGTTCATTTGAGTGTTCTCGTTGTTCTACACAGTGTGAAATATGATAGAGGAAAAACGAAGAAGATTGTTTTGCTCGTCTTTGCTCTTCGATGTCTTTCTTATACAGCAAAAATATTCGCTGTTTTGTGTTTAGACTGAGCTCGAATATAAACTAGTTATTAGCGTAATACAATAGTTAATAAGTTACAATCAGCTGTTCCTCGTCACACGTCATTTGTCTTAAAAGTATATACAAAGCTCACACATTTTTGCATGTACATATATTTCCTGCGGTTTACACGTAAAACTTCGTAAAAATTACGTGTAAGTGTATTTTAGGACAATTTACGCGTGCACTCCGTTAAAACATTATACGTGTTTACGCGTAAACTTTTTCTAACGACCGTTTACTTGTGAAACTCCGTTAAAAATATGTACATGTAAACACGTGTATTGTTTCTTCGAATCTTTCAATTCTCTTTTGTGTGTCATTAGTGCTTTCCTAGCCGGTCTCTTTCTAAAAGATTAGATGCGCTGTATATACGACCGCCTACTCTATTTTTTCCCAGCGAAATCTTATAGCCCTATCTAGGGCTATAAGATTATAAGACGAAAGTCTACTATGTAGTAGACTTTCGTCTCAATTTTTACAAAGCGAGCGTCGTACTTTGTACAGTTTTTCTCACTCTTTTAACTCATACGCACTTCAGAATTTTAAACAGAAAAAAAGAGAAAAAGAGAAAAAGGATCCGAAACAGAGCATAATTATTTTGTTTTGTATTTGTTTTCAATATTTTTTGTGATGCTTCTCGAAAAAATCCATATTTTTATAAGAAAACCGTTTTTGTTTTCCAAATCGTACTCAATCGATTTTCCACCTAAAACTGCAAACGCACTCAATATTTAAACCTTGAAAACGTTTCCTCATGAAAATATGAACTTTTTGGAGTAGCATCACAAAAAGTATTGAAAAAAACTACAAAACAAAATAATTATGTTTTATTTCGAATCCTTTTTCTCCACTCTTTTGTTTTAAAATTCTGAAGTACATATGAGTTAAAAGAGTGAGAAAAACTGTACAAAGTACGACGCTCGCTTTGTAAAAATTGAGACGAAAGTCTACTATGTAAAAAATTA